CCTATTGGGCCATTGTGGTAATCAACTCACTATTCATGCAGGTCTGTGAGTCATTAAAACATTTCTTACAGGTGGCTTCACTGCATGGATTCCCGAGGGGTTAGTGAGGTGGATCCTAGGCTGACACCACCAACTCTTTTCACCCAGGGCCCAGAACCGCTGTTAAGTGATGAGGGCTGTTGCCCACAACTGACTTGGGCTGGGCTTGACCTGAGATATAAGCTCTGAACCCCAGAGAACAGTGCTTAGCTGGGCAGGAGCTCGGGGATTGTAGTGTCCCCTAGAGGCTCCAATCAAGATCCCCCTTGTGCTAGGTGCTGTACATACACATAGTGGGAGATGGTCCCTGCCCTAAAGAGCTCATAAGACGAAGGATGGGAGGGGAAACTGAGGCACAGAGAGGTGATGTGACTTGCCCAAGGTCACACAGGAAGCCTGTGGCAGAGCAGGGAAAAGAACTTAGATCTCCTAAGTCTCCGCCCAATGCCTTAGAGCACCAGTTCATCACTCCTCTCAGAGCAGCACCGGCAATGGACCTAGAAGTAGTTTGTGGGTTTTACACCTTCCATAGAAGGGGTGCTGCAGTGTGCCATTATAATAATGAAAATACCGATCCCATATACAGGGCTTCTGATCCATAGATTTCAAAGCACTTTACAAAGGAGGTCAGAATCATTGTCCCCATATGACGATGGTGAAACTGAGGCACGGGGCAGTGACATGTCCTATCCAAGACCACCCAGCAGGCCAGTGGCAGAGAGGCACTAGCACCCAGCTCGCTCAAGTCCCAGCCCAGTGCTCTACTCATTAGGTCACACTGCCTTCCTCTCTTCCAGACGATAAGTGGGTGCCCCCAAAACCCCAATTCCTCAGGAGGAACAGAGGCCCAAGCCAACGTTAAGGATCACTCATGGCAGGATACACTGAGCTATAGTAGATTCACTCTGAGCAGCTCTAGCCTGTAATCACAAGGCTTCAAGGAGCGGACTTCAATTTCACTTTGCTGTAGAGAATCCCCAGGCGCTCCCCCGGCAAACTCCAAATGAAGGCAGAAACAATGCCAGAAATCACTAGTTGTGGTCAAGGAAAAGGGCAAAGTCATTCAATATCACCTTGAAAGCCCATTAGCAACCAATCAAACAGGAACAGAGGGCGAGAGGGGAAATTGACACGCAGCTAATGAAGCTACAGCTAAGTAGTGTCAGAAACAGAGCGATATTTGTGCCATTAGCTGCCATGGGTTCAGGAGGGACATGTAATTTAAGCATCAAACAGATTAAGATGGGGGAATAGCCACAGGAATTGTAAATGGAGCCCCTGCTTTCAGGCCTTGATTCAGGAAAGCGTCCCTATTCAGGACAGCATTCAAACATGTGCATAAAGTTGAGCAAGTACTAAAGTGTCTTCCTGAACTGGGGCCTTAAAACCTCTCTCTGTCCTAATACCACAGATCATTCCCAGCTGGTACTGGGCAGGAAAGCAGCCAGCCGAGACTTCTGCTTTTTGGCTAATTCCAGTTCTAGTATTTCTTCATCCTCCTCTTCACCCAATCCTTGCTTGCCTCTTTCCTGTCTCTCCCCTTTCAACCTGAGCCGGCCCGCGGGACCGTCCTGCCCGGC